AGGGCAAAATAGACATAGGTATCCTTGACAGTCTCCATTTGTTTTGTGGCCACGTGCTACGAAGGAGAAGAAAGAAAGCATATGCATCTTTGCTGCTTTTCTTAACTTTTAACTCTTGTAATAATAGGAAGAAAAATTAGAGGTGAATTAGAAACTGTTGACTTCAATCTATTTATTATTCATAGAGTTGAACAAATAGAACTCGGTTCTATATGAATAATAAAGAGGGCTTTGTTTGTTTTGGCTGGGAAGAATTCAGTGTTGAATTTGAGCCTCTAAGAGAAGCTCTCAACTTACCTGCTGTGGCACTGAGGAGGCCTCCCACCTCCAACGAAGGGGAACCCTGTTGTCTCTCAGATTTTATGTGGAACAGGAATTGGATTTGGTCTTCTAAATCTCTGTAAAGGGAATTGTGTATGTGTTGGGCTACTGGTAACATTTACTTGAATAAACTTTTTTTGGTAGCGGTTAGAAGCACAGAACTGCAGACTTCCTCTCTGAGAGGCCTCTTGACACTTTGATGCATGGTGGTGCTATCCCTGAATGGAACTTAAATACTTGATGGCTACTTTCTCAGTGGGTGAAGGGGTGTATAAAATGAGAACACATGAGAGAGTATTAACAGAAAAGCACACTTTGATTTACTGATACTGGCTCTTTACTTTCTTGTTGGATTGATATGCTATCTGATATATCTGCAGTGGATTTTTAAAACTGACTTGAACAAAATAAAAAGGCTTGTGTAGCTGTTTGAAAGTGACCCTTAAAAGTTGTAGTCTTTCCTTGGGGGATTTCACAGTTCTCAGGTATGCTACATGTATGTTCCATGTTTGTGTCCAATTGTAACTCACCTGTTGGCAAGCAACTGTAAAGATTATGAAGTGAGTTGCAGTTCCTTCCCTGTGTGGCTCTTGATCGAGTTTCAAATCATGGGTACATGGTCCTTAGGGAAAAGGGGGCAGGGACTTTGCTCTTCCTGTTCTTTTAAGATTGCATATGTGTGTGTTTAAAAAATACAACAAAAAACTTAGTTTTTTACCCTCTTAACTATACAGTCAGTTTAATAATATTAAATGTATTTCTATTGTTCAACAACCAGTCTCTAGAACCTTTTATCTTGCAAAACTGAAGACTGTCCCTGCAGGGCTGGGGATTTAGTTCAGCGGCATAAGCACCTGCCTTGCAAGCAGGCGGTTGTGAGTTCGATCCCTGGTACCGATAAAAAAAAAAAAAGAAAAAAAAAAAGAAAAGACTGTCCCTGTGAAATAATTCTGTTTTCTCATCTCTCTCAGCCACTGGCAAGTACTGTTGTGCTTTTGGTCTCTATTTGATGACTTGTAAGTCATCTATAAGTGGAATTATATAATATTTGTCCTTTCATAATGATTTATTCCATTTAATTTAATGTCCTCGTTGTTGACCCATGTTGAAGTATGTGTCAGGATTTCCTTCCCTTTTAAGTGGATAATATTCATATTCCACTGCTTTTTTCTTTTTTTGAAGAGGTTTAATTTGAAGTAATACAGATTATCTTTTGTTGTTGTTATACCCAGGTGAACTGGGATGAATTTAAGTATACAGCTCAGTGTCATTAAATACATTTGTATTGTATATAACCATCTCCAGAATTTTTATCATCTCAAACTATGTACTTATTAAACAGTAGTTCCCTTTTCTGCCTCTTCCCCAGCTCTTGTAACGACCATTCTACTTCTCTGTCTCTGTTGTTGTTGCTGCTGTTGTTTTTGCGAGGCTAGAGAGTGAACCCAAGACTTCATGCATGCTAAGTGTTATATCACTGGGTTACATCTCAGCTCTCTACCTTAGGAATTTGATTACCTTAGATACCTCATGTAAGTAGAATTACACAGCATTTGTTTCTTATGCACAGCTTGGTTATTTCACTTAATATTTTCAAAGGAAATCTTCGTCAGGGAAATCTTTAAAATCACTTCGCAGATGCACAGTGGAGTTGTGGCTTTACTCTAGAAAACATAGGTTGTGTCTCTTAAGATACAGTGTTTTAGGCTATCTCGGGAGTACAGAACTTGGCTGGCATGTGATTTGATCTTCAGCCCCCCAACCTAGAAACCACCCCACTTCACCCAGAAAAAGACACCACTATTTCTGGGAAAGAAAGTAGAAACTGTCGTTAAAAGTTTATAGAATTTTAATGAAATGAGATTTTTTAATTTACATGAGTTTCCTTCAGAGTGTTAGTATCTTTTTCCATTTACTTAAGGCTCTTGCCTTAACATACACTTTCAGAACTCTAGCTACTCTGAGGTGTCTGTTTTAAAATTACAGCTTCTTTAAAGCAAGTCATTTATGGTAACTTTTGTAGTTATCATTTGTAGTCACTGCTTTCCTCCCTCCTTTGAAAAACTTTCATAATATTTACATAATTTTGTACTATTTACACATGTAGCACATTTAGACTGAATAATTCTTACCGTTAGAATTAGTATATCTTTACTTTTTTCTTTTTCACTACCTTTTATCTTTATATTTAATCCATTCCTAAAAGCTAATAGAAGAATAATTCTATATTATATTTTTCTTTATGAAAAATTTAATCTCCGTATGTGGTAGAAAATACATTCTCGCACCTTTTAAGATTGAGAGCAGTGAGTTGAGAATTTTACTTTGGAACACAAGGCATTTTGGGTTTAAGGCAATGTTTATATATTACAAATCCTCCCCAAATGGTATTAATATGCATTATAAAATGATTAGAATATAGAAATTAGAAAAGATGTGACTAAGGGTCTTTTTTGTTATTTATTTATTTTGAAGGTAGTAAAATACAACAAAACAAGACAGAACAAAGCCAATCGAGACAATACCGTGAAACTGGTACAAAACTTCAGGGCAGGATACCGGAATAACAGTAATAGCTACCATAGTATATCTCATTATCTTTATAATAGTTGTCCATTCAATCAAGTATAGCAAAATCAAACCAAAAACAGAACAGTATAAAACCTGTCAAAACAGAATATTGAATAGAGCAAAAACAGTTAATCAGAACAAAGCAGAATAATGAAAACAATATTGGCCTTCAAAGAGAAGATAGAGCAAAATCCCCCATATTTGCTATATTGCATATGGTCTTCCTCCCAAGAGATGCTCAGACCTTGGCCCCAGGTCAGCGTAATCAACCCAACAATACAGGCATTTAGTTGATCTGTGTACCTTACTTGCTCTCAACTCCAGCTGTCCTTCACACTATCCAGTTGCTAATGGAGGTGGGGTGTGGCAGGGGTTGTGGGAGCGGGCCAGCGTTTGATTTTCAGCCCATGCCCTGGTAGGCTCACAGGAGAGCTGACTTACCTGTCCCTGGCACACCTGCTGCTCACTTGTGCTGGGCTTACCAGGAAGAAGGGCTTGTTGCTTTCTTGTTCAGCCCCCAAGTTCCAACATGGCTGGATCTTGGGATATGCTGACTTGTTCCCCTTTTTTGTTGTTAAATAAAGTCTTATTCATATAGTTTTATATGCAGATTATTTGAGAGTAGGCAAAGTAGTTGGGTCGTGGGATAACTTCTGACCAATCTGGGGAGGTTTTCGCAGGTAGCTGAGCCCTCAGCCTTGTATTGCAATAGAATTCTGTCCGTGACACATCAAGAGCCTGACTTGTGCTGGTGTCCCAGTGATGTGTCTGGTAGGAATATAAAATGGTGAGATGGCTGCTCAGGGTAGGTAGGGTAGAAGCAGAAACAGAAAAAAAAAAAAAAGACTGAGACTCACAAATCACCGTAAAAGATTTTGTGTGGGCTGAGAGTAGCGCAGGCTGACGTTAGTATGGAACATAAAATAAAAATGAATGTAGGGGTTGTTAGATAGAAGGGATGCTTATGAGATTACAGTTTCCTAAAAGGGGGAAAAAGGGATAGAAGTGTGGCTAGAGATGAATGGGCAGTTATTAGTAATATAAATAAAAACAGTTCAGCCACAATTAAATGTATGAGGTAAAGGCAACCAAATGTCAGTAGTCTCCTATGAAAACACATTAAGCATAAAACAGAAATTCAGACAAGGAAAAAATACTAAGTAGAAAGAAAAAAAGATTTTGTTTCTGACATGGTATGCTTGAAAGTGTGATAGAGCCATGTGAAAATTTTCTTACAGTTGCTGGAAACGTGGAAGTTCGATTATAGGTGAGGAATCGCAGTGCTCTTAATCAGCATAAATGCTGATTATCAGTGTCTGGTTAACCTGTTTAGTGGGATTATTTTGATAGAGAAAGCAAGAGTTTAGTTCTTACAGGACCAGTTTTTATTCTGAAAGTTCTTAACCTAAGAGATTTTATACCTAATCCTAACCAGCTATGTTGCAACTGTGGCCTGTTGGCTATAAGAAGCAGGTGAAAGCATAGTCTCTAAGTACATATTTTATATCTATATATATACACATAATTCATATGTTAATATGAATTAATTTGTATCCATGTATTTAGAAAAACATCAACTTGGATTTTCACATGTGAATAGGAACTTTGCTTAAGGAGTATAAGTGGCTGAGAGAATGATCTTTAGGTCACAGCAGAGGCAAATAAGCTCTGGGGAAGAAGGTGGAGGGGAGAGGGAGCCAGTCCTGCATTTTGCTTCTTAGGAGAAGAGGAATTGCCTGATGAATTAGCCAAATCCAAGAGATCAGTGCATCACCTGTAGAAATGTAAGTGTAATGTTAGGATGGCAGGCAGGGGGTAGTTTGCCACACTTAAATTTAAGAGCTGACAGTTTATTGAAATTTTACTCTCTGCAGACACTTTCCAAAGCACCTTTCATGTATATTTTCTTGCTTGTTTCTTGCAACAGGCCTAGGCACTATTATTTCCATTGGGAACTGTGTATTCCGGAGAGTTCTGAGTTGTGCCCTGCATCTCCTTTTGTGCTCCCTGCTGCCAGAACTGCTCGGGAGACATGAGTTACAAGTATCACTCTTTTTGGAGATTTTAGTGATTAATTGTCTCTTCTGTGGGTCTTATTTCCTTCCCAGGTCACAAGGCACTTAAAGCATTGTTGAGATCATTGGTAGATCTTCAGGAAGAGTTGCTTTTCCAGTACCCAGATACTAGGTATCTAGTAGATGGAACGAAGCCAAAAGAGGAAAGGTAAGGAGAGAATGAAACTGTGGAGTTGTTTATTTTCATCTGGATAGTTTCCCATCTCTTATGAGAGAAAAAGCTGTCTTTTCCAGGCACTTGGAAGGCTAGGGCAGGAGCATCACAAACTCAAAACCACCCTGGGGGATATAGTGAGGCCTTATCTCAAAAATTTAAAAAGGGGTGGAGATGCAGTTCATTGGTAGAGCACTTGCCTAGCACGCGCAAGGCCCTAGTTTCCAACCCTAGTACCACCTAACAAAAAAAAAAGAGTCCCTTACAAATAACAGTGGTCAAGAGGCACATAAATTTTGGATTTTTATCTTTAGTTGGGTCTGATTCTTTGGCTTGGGAAAAAGATTTGCCTTGTCTCAGGTCTGTTGAAATTAGGAGATAAAAGCACATTTTGACTGTTAGTGCTCAATGTTTATGAAGCACTTTGTGTGCTCATACCATGGGATCACTGGTCACAACCATCTTCAGTGAAGGAAGGGGTTATTTTAAAGGGAAGAAAGATTTCAGAAAGAATGACAAAATAATCTTGCTGCTTTTCTGAAATTACATTTGAAGAAGGGTTTCTCTTCTTTGTTTGAGTCTGCTTTGACACCTGCTTCCTTTTTTCCACTGGGTTTGTCTTGCTTGGTTGTTCTCCACTGAACTAGTCAGAAGGACAGAAAGGGAGCTTACGTGTATTGAGTACACACATACAGTATGTTGGATCAGTAACCCAGTGAGCACTGGATAACTGAGTTTGTACAGCCATCCTTAGGTAACCATGGAAATTAATTCCAGAATCCAGCATGATTCCAAGATCTGCAGACACTCAAGCCAGTATCTATCCTTCTGTCTGTGTCACCACTCTCCTGCAGTGCCAGGGATGACACCCAGAGCCTCACTCAGACTATCAAGTCCCTTATGTAAAAATGGTGTAATAGTTGTATATAACCACACATATCCTCTCAAGTACTTTAAATCATCTTTAGATTGCTTATCTAGTATGATCTAAGTGCTATATAAATAGTTGTACAATGTAATTTAAGGAATAATGCCAGGAGATAGATGTTTAAAACATGTTTGTTTTTTTTTTTTCCTGAATATTTTTGTTCCTCAGTTGATTGACAGACTCTGTGGATTTAGAGTGCTATTGTGTTGCAGTTTAGCACAGATGTGGGTGCCTACCCCTTTGAATTTTCTTTATGTTATGTTTATGTTATGTTATTCACCTTTCCCGAATAGTTCTTACAGAGACACATTTCTCTTATTGATTTGGGGATTAAGGTCATAGAAATATGATTATGTGTTTAATTTTTAAAGACCCTTCTGTAACAGTGCAGGCTTGATTCATAGACATTTCTAATAGTCATTTATTTTTAGTTTGCTTACTTTTTAAAAAATATTTTGAAATTCAAGTGCTTTTCATATTTATTTGAAAAATTACATGAGCTTTTGATTGACTTCATGAACATTCTTTTCAAACTGAAAAAAAAAAAAAGCCATCCTCATGTCTATGATGTTATTTAAAATATAGAGAGACTAGATAAGCCTAAGCACTTCAGTGAGGCTAAATTTTTTTTTTAGTCTCCATAATATTTACTTACTCTGCATTCTTACCCATTTTCTAGTGAGGAGATCTCTAGTGAAGATGATGAAACATTAGACAGAAAGCAGAAGAGAAAGGCAGTGCCAAAGAGGAAGCTGGAGATGGATGCCTATCCTGGCTTCATGGCAAAGCGCTTTGCTGACTTTACCGTCTACAGGAACCGCACGCTGCAGAAATGGCATGACAGAACCAAGCTGGCTTCTGGGAAGCTGGGCAAGGCGTGTGTGTGTGTGTGTGTGTGTGTGTGTGTGTGTGTGTGTGTGTGACCTGAAGCAGGTGTAAGATTTGAGGCTGTAGTTTATTTATATGGATGTTGTGGTGGAACAGTGACCAGTCATTTCTCTCTCAAAATTTACATACAGAACCTTTGCCATTTGGGTCATATTATTCAAACTTGGGACTTTTAAGTTTAAGAGAAAATGTTTTATTCTTGAAACACTAACTTTATAAGCATTGAACTGCTAAGAATACAAAATACTTTAAAGGTACAGATTTTACAGCAATTATCATTAAAGGATTAGAATTTAATCTGTAGCTGTAAGAAAGTGATATGGCCTGCGCAAGACCCAGTTTTGTTTTGTTTTGTTTTTCCTGAGCCACTCACAAACTCAGGCCTTAGCCAGAAGTCCCTTCTGAAAAGACAGTGGTCTGTTTCTGTGCTGACGAGGAAAGCTAGGGAAGCCAGTGCAACTGCCTTCCACGCTGACTTGCTGTATTATCTGACTGGTTAATATTGCAGAGTTTCAGTGCCTTTGAACGCTCAATCTTGACTCAGATTGATCACATTTTGATGGACAAAGAAAGATTACTACGGAGGACACAAACCAAACGCTCTGTCTACCGAGTTCTTGGCAAACCTGAACCAGAAGCTCCGCCTGTTCCGAAGAGTTTGCCAGGAGAACCGGTAAGAACTCTGTGCTGCATGGTGGATATGGGGAGCAGTTTCTGTCAGGCAAATGAAGTGGAGACTTGCTGGAATTAGCTCTTGGAAAAAGGAAAGTGTGAGTGCTTTACTGGGTCTTTAAGAAACTTAAGAGTATCTATAGATGGATTTTTTTTAAAATGGGGCTTTACTAATTGTTTATATTGTTTTACTCTTGTGTGATACACGAGTTGGATAGGGGAACTATTTATTAAGATTTAAGATTTATTTTAAATAATTTTGGGCGGGGGGTTGTGGCAGAGATCAAGCTCAGGGATTTACACATGTTAGGCAAGCACGCTATGACTAATCTATACTCCTAGCCCTTAAGATTTAGTTTTGGGGCCAGGGATATAGCTCAGCAGCACAGCATCTGCCTGGCACATTCAAGGTCCTGAGTTTGATTCCCAGTACCAAAAAACAAAACCAAAAAAGGTATAGATTTTATTTCTTTTGCCCTTTTTTTTTGTTAGTGTTTTTTGGTACTGGAACTCGAACTCAGGACCTTGTGTTTGCTGGGCAGGCATTGTGCCCCGGAGCTATATTCCCAGCTCACTTTTGCTCTTTTTTTGAGATAGGGTCTCGCTACATAGTTTAGGCTAACCTTAAACTCACTGTATAGCACAGACTGGCCTTGAATTCACAGTGATCCTTCAACCTCAGCCTCCTGAGGAGGCTTCAGCCTCAGCCTCCTGTGCCATCAGGAATGACTAAGATTTAGGGTTTTGTTTTTTGTTTTGTTTTGGAACCAGAAATCAAACTCAGGACCTGTGCTTGCCAGGCTGGCACTAAGCTATATCCCTGGCAAGATTTAGTTTTATAGTTGTTCTTGGGAATACTGAAGCAAATGTTTATTTTGGCTTAATGTTTGCTCTTTACCTATTCTGGAAAAGGATCCAGAAGGAGAGTAGTTAAAATCCTTTATTTAAAGGAAACATTTTTATTTTTTAATTATGAAAGAAATGCATAGGGCTGGGAATTTAGCTCAGTGGCACAGGCACCTGCCTGGTAAGCACGAGGTTGTCAGTTTGATCCCCTGTACCAAAAAAAAAAAAAAAAATAAAAGAATAAAGTAATTATTTTTAAAAACTAGGGGCTGGGAATTTAGCTCAGCAGCATAAGCACTTGCCTTGCAAGCAGGCGGTCGTGAGTTCGATCCCCAGTACCGATAAAAAGATAAATAAATAAAAGAAATGTATACTTAATTGCTTTTAAATTTGTAAGAATTTAAAGTAAAACTCTTTCTTTTCTTTTTTGTCTTTTTTTTTGGGGGGGGGGCAGGGCTTGCCAGGCAGGTACTATGCTACTTAGCTACATCCCCAGCCCTAAAGTCTTCCTTTTCTTAAAATTTTATTCCTCAGATAATAACAGTTATGATAAGCATTATGCTTATAATATATACTTACCTCAAAATTTAGTTATCTTTTTCTTTTTACTAAATAAAATAACCACATGTATATATAAATATATAAAATACTACAATTGCATTTAAAATCTTACAACTTACTTTTTCAATGTAATGTATTCTGGACACTTTTCCTTATGGTTACAGAGAGATCTACCTCATTTTTCCAAATGCTTGCAGAGGATTCCATTGGGTAGACATATACTGTAGTTTATTTAAGCTCTGGATAATTTGTCTCTGTTTTAAGAAATAACACCACTGAAAACATTGCTAAATATTTGTAGTTGTATGTTTCTGTGAACGTATGTATAGAGTTCTTAAACTGAAAATGTTAAAGAAATTATACTAAATCCTAATAGCTGTTACCAAATTGCCTCAAAAAAGGCTACTTTAAAAAAAAAAAACAAAGGCTATTTTAATTTATAATCCATCCAGCTTTATTCTCCAGTCCTGAGTACAGTATCACCACTCTTACAGGTGAAAAAGAATATTTTCTCAGCTTAGTTTGAATGGATTTAATTACAGGGAGGCTACACGTATGGATAATCCAGGCATACTGTTACACTGAGCTACATTCTTAGCCTTTTCTCTGAGAAAGGATCTGACTCATTGCCTAGGTGGGATTCAAGCTTGAAATTCTTCTGTCTCAGCCTCTCTCAGTGCTGAGATCATAGTCATGATCCCCATGGCCAGTTTTTATTTCTAAGAATTTTTCATAAGTTAAGAAGAATAGTACTTTGTTAGAAATATTGTTTAAAATAGCTGTGTTACTCTGATACCCTTTTTGAGATTCACTTCACTTCTCATTGACCTAGGAAATCCTTCCTCAAATCTCTGCCAATGCTCACTTGAAGGACTTGGATGAAGAAATCTTTGATGATGACGACTTTTACCACCAGGTATGATTTTTTTTTTTTTTTAACAGTCTTGTTCTGTTACAAATCAGAATTTTTAGCATTTTAAATACAGTTCTCCGATTATTTCTTAGCTTATTTTATTCTTAGCTTATTTTAGAAGATTTTTAAGAGGAAGATCCTGCATTCAGAGTTGTCTTATAGTATCATTCTGGATTGTTGCTTTTCCTTTATTTTATCTTTTCCCTTTGAAATGAAAATAGCTATGGCTATGACTATGGCATGTTTGTGTTGCGGGAGTATAAATTATGTGTAAGGCAGTTTCTGCTTCTTTGAGTCATGTGGCTTATTCCTTATCAGATACATCTCCAGCCTTTTTTTAAAGACAGTTTTTGTTAAGTTTCCCAGGCTGGTCTTGATTTTGCATCCTCAGGCTCCCAGAATGCTGGAATTACAGATGTATGCCACCATGCCTGGCATATCTGAGCTAGAGAACCAAAGTAATTTCCAGTATACTTGAGTCTCTTGATAAGTTATACTGTACTTATTAAAGAAATACACTTTAGGCTATGCCTTTTAGTGTTCAGTGGAGAACTGAGGATACTGTTCAGGTGTGATACACTGATTTTTATTGAGCCATTGTTTATCAAGATAAAATTTTTTCTTTGCTGAATTTTGAGTGTGTTAACTTTTGTAGAGAATTCAAAATTGTCTGTTAAGGTTTAGCCATGATGACTATACTTTGTACATGATGTGATTTAAAAAATACATTTCATGGGTTTTTTGTTTTGTTTTGTTTTGTTTTGGTACCAGGGATCGAACTCACAACCTTGCTTGCCAGGCAGGCACTTATACCGCTGAGCTAAACCTTCGGCTTCATGTTTAAATTTTTAAAAATTGTTACAGTAAAAGACACTTTGCCATTAATGCCCCTCAAAACCACACCCACCATATTATTCTTACCCCTTGAATCTTACCACTTTCTTAGTTGTTTGTTTTTTGGTACCAGGACTCAAACTCACAGCCTCATGCTTGCCAGGCAGGCACTGTGTCATTGAGCTATTTCCCCGGCTCCTTACCACTTTCTAAAACAGTTCTGGCAATTCTCTCCTGTGGATGTCTTTAGTTGGACTGTCATGGCAGGCTCAGTGTCCTGAATTGATTCAAAATGTTTACTTTTCACGGTCATTTGGACTTTGGAAAGAACCAGAAGTCACATGGTGCCTGTGCTGGTGAGTGAGGTGGATGAGAACTCACTCTAATGTTTCTATCAGCCTGACTTTCTGTTCAGTGACACTCGGCAGCAGCATTCAATGTATTTTTGATCCCATCTTGTGAAGACACTCATGAAAGAGGAATTCGCGAATTGATTCAGAAAGTGGCAGGAGGAGCTGGGGATATAGCTCAGGGATCAGCACTTGCCTAGCAAGCACGAGGTCTTGAGTCAGTTTCTGGTACCCACCATAAATAAACAAACAAACAAATAATTAAAGTGGCAAGAAGGATGGAATGAGTGTGTTTGAAGCAAAGTGTTATGTTTTAAGGGAGATTAATGGCATTGTGTCATTTGCTATAATAAATTTTTAATATTTAAACACTTTTATATTTTGATTGCCCTCATGTGAGTATGAACAAAGAAACTTCTTAGGAAATTATATGTATAACCAGACCTGATGATTGTATACTGGGAATCCTTCTCATTTTACCCTAAAAAAGAGGCAGACTTTCTGTTAATCTTTTTATTCATTCTATAATATTCAGTAAAATTAATGCCATAAGTGGATCTGAAAAATAATGACCAGAGGATATAAGAAAGAAGAATAGTGTGGCCTCAACTATTCCCAGTCAGGGGGTCCTGATTATTTTCCCTGTTCTCTCTTCACTTGTCTATTTGTCAAAAGAGTAGGGAACTCTATTTTGTTCTGGAGTGTCTAAGGAAGTACCTGATATGAGATATTAATGCTACATAATTGTATGAGATCACAGGAGACGATCAAAAATGTTCCAGTTCTCATTAATTGAAGTGTGCATTATTTGACAGAAAGCACATCATAAATTAAATAGGCTTATAACATAATCTGAAATTACTAGGGAGAAGTTGTTTTTGCTGGCAAGCCTTAATCTGAAAGTTTTTACTTATTTTCTTTCTCGTTTTTGGCCTAGAAATCTGTTTAAAAAGAAATTGCATTACTCAATTGGCCCCTCTTCCCAATTAATAATTTCAACTTCGATAAATTCTGATTTCAGAGTTATGACTAGTCACATCTTAGCTTTTCCCCTTGCTGGTTAATTGGGGTGCTGGGGTTAATCTAAATTAAAACTTAAACTAATAGAGGTCAGCAAGGCAGCTGAAACACCTGAGTGAAACAAATGGGGCTGCCAGGCGCAACTTTATCTTGGCTGTTTCCCAAGAGGGAAGTGGCAGCAAATTGGAGTTGTTTCAGCCTTCTGTAAAGGTGAATGATGGGTGACACTTGTCAGTGTACAGCATCTCCGGAAGCATTCCAGATTGCTCTGCTGCCGTTCCAACTGCTGCCATCCATGCACCGTCAGTGGGAGCTGGACCAGTTGCCAACATCTGGCGGCACAGCAAGGAATGGGTGCAAGCCTTGAAACCCCACAGATTCTAAATATGGTGCTTAGACTGTGTAGGCTTTAATCACTTACCACTCTTTGGCAGCAGGCTACGACAGCTTATCCTAACCTCGTACATCACATCTGACATCTGCTGAGCTCAAGGCAGCTGCGCATTCATTTTCTTTTCTTGCCTTTTCTCTTTGCTTCCTATTCCTCCTCTTCTTCCCGCTCCCCCTCACTCCCACCTCCCTTCAGTTTTCCTCTCCCTCCTCAGTGTGCTCCCTGGGAGAGATGATCTGTAAAGATTACTGCTTCATTGTGTGCAAGTAATTGTGGTGATGCCAGGCCCTTGACAGACACAACGTAGCACCTGTTCTGCTGACCTGGTTAATTTCTTCTGTTGAGTGGGATTTGCCAGAGATTGGAGCTGAAGCCAATTCAATGATAAGGCTAAAGAAAATGGCTGTATGTTTTCTGTCACCTCCCAATTAAATTGGCTTCATAAAGTGCTTTCCTTTATTTGTCAGGATAGTAAGCCTGAGCTAAGTGTTCCATTCAGAAGTGGTACAATGTACTACAGTGGGCTTGTGTGTGTGTGTGTGTGTGTGTGTGTGTGTGTGTGTCTTTTTAAGTGTGGTCATATGGAAGAGCTGGGTGCTGAGAATAATATCTTTCGCCTCTTTTTTAAACCCTACTTGAAGCCAGACTTGTTGGGCCCATGTTTTCCAAGGAAGAGATTACAACCACATTGAATTTTAATGTTTCTTTGTAAGGGTTTAAAGGCTTACTTGGTTAATTCAGGTGTCATGAGGCTGTGTAAATGCCCTACTACTGAGAGTAATGTATGGGGTCAGAACCTCCAAAACACACTCGTCCATTCTCACTTTCATTCTGTCTCCTAATGGGCCTTAAGTTACTACAGTTTAGAAATACACGTTATTAAAGTGTATGTAGGCTATACATGCGTATGCATGCACATGCTTAGATGGCTGCAAATGCAGTGTATGTGTGAGAGGGACTGAAGACAATGGCAGATAAAATAAAAGCTCCTATAATTTTTTAGTTGAAAAGACTGTTAGAAGCAGCTGAGTCCATGAGAAGTAACTCCCTAAAGTCGTATAACAGACACCAGTGGGAACACTGGTATTTGATCTGAGGACTCCTTAAATCAAGGCTTGTTCTCTCTTCTTCTCCCTCTCCCCCTTCTTTCAAGACAAGATTTCACTTACATAGCCCAGGCAGTTCTCAAACTCAAAATCCTCCTACCTCAGCCTCCCCAGCAACTGGGATTACAGCTGTGCACTGCCCAATGCTAGCTTTTGTTCTTTCTGTATACCTTTATTTTTAAACAGTTCATTCTTGAGCCATAAAAAGAGTTCACTATAGTATTACAATTTTAGTTTGTAGATAAATATGGTTCATTTCTTAGAACTGGAAGAAATATTACGTTGTTAGAAAGTAATTTTTTTCCTTAGAAAGCAAATGAGTTATTGAACTGCTGTTACTTAACAATTCTATTGGAAAAAAAATTTAGCTTTATGATTTTGTTACTGGTTTGGAAACTAGAATTGCCAAAAGCTTGAGTACGGTCAGTGGTGAATGTTTTTTGAGAGGAAGCATTCACCTGCTACAGAAAAGCATGTAAGGATTTATTTTGAAATGGCATTACTTTGCGTTTGGCCTATTTCTTGTCAAAGCTCATCCTTAAAGGCAACTTCGCAAAATACGAGGGTTGTAAATACCCATGAAGGATGGTCCATTCAGAAATGTTTTCAGTGTCTGTTTTTTATTTTCATAATCCTGTTGGCTACTTTATAACATTAAGTTCTTCTAAGATGTGATGTGTATTCTTCAATTTGAGATTTTTCTTCTATTTTGCTTTTTTAAACCATCAGATGATCTTTGATTTTATAAGCCTGAGCTCTTAAAGAATTGAGGAAGAGCCAGCATTTGCTGAATGCTAGTTATGAACCAGCTCCTAGACTAAGGAGAGAGGTGTTTGCCATGAGTCTTTATTTAATCTTCATAAGAGCCCATATTGTGACATGACTGTACCTGGCGGTTAGCTGCATAAAGTAACTGGTTTATTGTTTTGATACTCCCAGCCCTAACTAGTTTCTTGTCACCTTATGAGGTATTTTGTTCTAAAAGGACTAATTGAGCTTAGGTGTTGACAGATCGATACCTGGATTTCTAAGGGTTCATTAGGATTTTGTATCTTGCCTCTATCTCTGTTTAGTTTTGATCTGGTTTGTCCTGTCACTTTGAATCTAGCCAAGAGTGTCGAGAGAAACATGTAATAGGTTTTGCTCTTTTGATGACCACTTTGATGGGTTAAATTTCTCCTTTCATTTGCCATGAAGACATGTCTATAACTGACCTTGCCACATGCTGGACTCCTGTACCGAAGAAATTTGATAATGCTACAAACAAATAATTACTCATTTACTGAACTATTAAAAGTCAAT